CCATGTTATCGCAACTCTTGGTGTGCGTAATTCATTTTGACGTAGAACATACCCCGCAAACCTCATGCGACGCTCTGTCATAACCTCACTAAGTGTTCGACTCCCAGTTGGGCATAGGATTTCCTTGTTTGAGACCCGATCCAAGTAACTGACTCCCAAAATCCATCTCAGCCATTTTTGTTGAGCCACATTTAGTCTTTTCTCAATTTTGACAGATGACTTCCATGTCTCACATGCATAAGTAGCAGTTGGAATGACGATTGTGTTGAGAAGGTGTATTTTTGTCTCGAGTCCAATGGCTTAGCTAGTCCAAAAAGGCTCCCTGCCTTTCCTATTTGGCACGCTTCATCATGGTAGGCATCTCCATCATTTGTTATGATGCTGCCAAGGTACGTGAACTTGTATAGCTCTTCAAGCTTTGACTCGCCAAGTCTGTCGGGGGCACTTTTTGCCTTATATCCCACTCGCATAATTTTAGTCTTATCCAAGTTTATGCGGAGGCCAATTTTGGGTGCCTCTCTGTCTAGGCCCTCTGTCATTTCTTGAATGCATTTATTTCTAGACCTGAGTAGTGCAACATCACCAGCAAAGTCCAAGTCTGTCGTTGTTCACGCCATGGAATACCAAAGGCAGTCTGGTCATTGCTCTCCTCATTATATAGTCGATGGCTAGGAGGAAAAGGAAGGGAGATAAGATGCACCCCTGTCTCACACCTGTCTCGATTGTAAAAAACTCTGTTGTTCCCTCTTCTGTTTTAATGCAGCAACTAGACTGACTGTAAAGGTGTCTTAGGATCTGGATGAATTTTTCTGGGATACCGTATTCTCTAACTATTTTCCATAGTGATTCTTGGTGGACACTATCAAATGCTTTTTTGAAGTCCACGAAACTGATTGTTAGCTGTTGTTGGTACTCAAGACTTTGTTCTATGATATTTCGTAGAACAAAAATCTGCTCAGTACATGATCTGCCTCTTTGAAAGTCTGCTTGTTCTTCTTTGAGCCTTTCATCTACAGACTGTTGAAGCCGCCTCAACAAAACAGTGCTGAAAACTTTGCCCGGGACAGAGAGGAGAGTAATGCCCCTCCATTTGTTGCAGTCTGCCAAGTTGCCCTTTTTTGGAAGCTTTACAATCACTCCCTTTTGCCAGTCTTTGGGGACTTTTGGGTTTGCCAACAGAGATTTAAGAGATCAGTCATTCTGTTAACAAATCACTGTCCCCCATATTTTAGCATTTCTGCTGATATCATCTCTAGCTCTGGTGCTTTGTTATTCTTTAGCACTGCAATGGCCATGGTAACCTCCTCAGCAGTTATTGGGTCTGTCTTGACTTTGAGATCATTGTCCAGTGTTCTACAGTGGCTTTTTAAATGGTAGAATAAGAGAAGTCAGTGTAGTCTTGGTGATAGGATAAGGTTTTTTGTTGACCTTTAAATCAACCAGAAATGCATAAAATGGGGCATAAGAACTTTAACACAATGCTATAACCAATGAATAAAATGGGGCATAAGAACTTTAACACAATGCTATAACCAATGAATAAAATGGGGCATAAGAACTTCAACACAATGCTATAACCAATGAATAAAATGGGGCATAAGAACTTCAACTAAATGCTATAACCAATGAATAAAATGGGGCATAAGAACTTCAACACAATGCTATAACCAAGGAATAAAATGGGGCATAAGAACTTCAACTCAATGCTATAACCAATGAATAAAATGGGGCATAAGAACTTCAACACAATGCTATAACCAATGAATAAAATGGGGCATAAGAACTTCAACTCAATGCTATAACCAATGAATAAAATGGGGCATAAGAACTTCAACACAATGCTATAACCAATGAATAAAATGGGGCATAAGAACTTTAACACAATGCTATAACCAAGGAATAAAATGGGGCATAAGAACTTCAACACAATGCTATAACCAATGAATAAAATGGGGCATAAGAACTTCAACTCAATGCTATAACCAGTGAATAAAAACAGAAGCAAATGTTATTCGGAATCCTCTTTAGAATTAATTTTTCTACTTTAGAACCAAAAGGGAAACAATCTCATCATTTCTTTTGTGGGTGTTATATTTGATTTTCTCATAGGAAGATGATGCTTTTAGTAGGTTGGGAGATGTGGTGCATACTTATTCTAGAAAATTTATGATAGGCTCCAGACACTAATAGCTGTTAGAAATATGTACAAATAGTTTTCATAACTCTATCCTACTAGTTTTGTAAAATATTCATTAGTAAAGTCCCCCCTTTTAGACCTTGCAATCTGTAAGGCATATGATGTTAAGGTCATCTAATTCTGTGGGCTACTGTTAACGAGGGTGTCATGTGGCCAGCACAATGACCAACCACATTTCCTTTACCCCCAACCAATGCCAGGTACTCATTGGAACTGGGTGGACTCAGAGGTGCCCTAACGATCCCCAAATTATAAATCCCATTCTTCACCAGGATTTGAACCTGGGACACCCAGTTCAAAAGCCAAGTGCTTTACCACTCAGGCCCTGCACCTCCAGTTTCATAAAATATTCATTGAATAATTTTGTATTTGAATAACTGAATATTAGAATACACTTTGGAGGGTTTCAGTTATTTCTGCTCTCATCATTTGTAGACATCTTTTTGAGGTCTGTGTTAGTCAAAGCAATTCAACAAGAGCAAAACAAATCTCAGGCAGAAAGATGGTCATTTCTTTGGGGTTTGGGTGTGTGTTTTTTTCTTTAAATTTCTGTCCCAAAGTTTAAGCTATTTCTTACTAAGTATATACATTTCATACCATTAAATTTATGAAAGACAATTCTGAACTTTTGTTTGTTCAATATTTTGTAAGCAATTTGAAATATTTTAAGGTTTATGTAAACAAAGCTTTGTTGTGGAGCTATTTCTGAAATTGTCTGTTAGTGGCAATGGTTGCTATTTAGGCAATGGTTGCTATTGAGGCAATGGTTGCTATTTAGGCAATGGTTGCTATTGAGGCAGTGGTTGCTATTGAGGCAATGGTTGCTGTTGCAATGGAGCGTTATTATGGGAAAATCTTTCTTAAAATTTTGATAGTGAACTTATTTTCTATGTCTGCAGGTGAAGATGATCTTGGCTAAAGATGGCAGTGGACAGGGAGCTGCATTTGCTGCGGTTTCAGCATTACGTCAATTGGCTAAGGGAATACGATGTTCATAGTTAAATGAGGATTTAGAAAAGTCTCACAATTATAGGTTTACTATTGAAAACTTTTATGGATTCATATTAGTCATGAAAGAGATGTTAATTTTTTATTGTTTTATAACTGAAACTAAGTCATGGTCCATTCAGTATAGCAAACACATGAGAGGTTCCCAATGCTATAATTAAATTCAATATACAATATTCCAAGATGTAGATATCTCTTAACACAAATATTCAAAATACTGGTCAGTTATTTGTATATGTACTTGTGAACATAATAGACTCTATCAGTTTTACCTTTTGTTACTTTCAGACATTTTATTTTAAATAAAAGTCTCCCCAAGTTGGGTTGTTTTTTACTAACTGAACTTTGCTAAAGACGTTGAAATAGTTAATTCATTGATTTAAAAATATTTTGTTTGCATGTGAAAGTTTTCACTTGATAAATTGCATCGTAAAGTTTCATTATTTACTGCTTTAATTTCTTCTTGAGCATGTCCTATAGTTCCCATGTTGTTTTTTTTATAATAAGAACAATATTTTTTTTTTATTATATGTTTCATTTGCTAAAATTCAGCCTGTGCTGTAGAAATTTCACATCATAAATTATGAAATTCTCAAGTCTTCATTTTTTTTTACTAAAAAAAATAGAATTTTGTTTGTCTTGTCAAGAATATTTTACAAATTCACTGCATAGACTGGAAAAAAAATGTTTTTTTTTTTGTTTCCCCTTAAATTTCTTGTTTTGTTTTTTTTAATTTATGATATAAATGTTCAGAGATGATAAAAGATTTTATTTTTTAGTTAACAGATTTTTTTTTCTTTGTTGTTACTGCCATAAGACTTACTTTTTGTTATCTTTCTATTTTACTCCTGCCAGTATTTTTTTTTTTTAACTGGTTATTGTGAAATGAGTCATTAGGGTTGTAGACAGTCACAGCATGCTGGACTATATATCTCACTTTTTATCTTTTTATCTCACTACTCATTAGTTTTTAGTAAAGGATTTGTAATTTCTTCATTCTAACTTCATCTCAACTACACCATTGTAAATGTTGACTCAATGAAGGTTGTCAATTTTACAAGGGCAAATAATTCATGGCCTTGAAAACCTTAATGTACACGTTTTATTGTTGTTTTACATGTGTTTTTTTATGTAGGAATAAAACAATGGCTTCCTTTGTACGTCATCGCTGGGTTCCCAAAGCCCCATATAATTTTTTAAATATTTCCCAATCTTCAGACTCATAGACAACACCTAAATTCTATTCCTATGTCAAATAATATTCAATACAAAGCCATAATATCCTCTTTTTTCACTTATTGAGATGTTTGTATTAACACTGGACTGTGTTATTGAAAGTAATAGCAACCTTATTAGATCAGTGACTTAGCCAACTATAATTAAGCTAAAAACTGTGTTTACTGATTTGAAGAGACCACCAATAAAAGAAATCGATCTAGTATTTGGTCGATTCACCTAGCAGCATTCATGATCAGTTTTGTCAATTTAATTGAGTTTATTAATCTGGCAGGATTAATCCATCTCATTTGAGTGCTTTATCTTGTATGATTAAACTGCTAGTTGTATTTAGTAATCCATGACTAATCAAAGAAATTCAGTATAAGTTTTTAGTCTAATTTCATTTGTGAATCTCTTCACTGGATTAAAATACAATTATATTTAATCAACATTTCTCATTGCACTTTGAAACAGTGGCAAGTCTGCAGGACATAGTTAAATAAGCTCTCATACAGGATGTAGCTTATAGGTAGCCAGTGTTCCCTATCAGTAACCTGTGTTCCCTATCAGTAACCTGTGTTCCCTATCAGTAACCTGTGTTCTTAAGTTCCTATAAATATCCTAGGAGCCTTACCAGTAGCCTACGTTCCATATCAGTAGCATGTGTTCCTGGAAAATGACTATCACTCAACACTAATGGTGACCCCATCTAAAAAACTAGACACAATTAGAACTTTATCGGAAACTACTTTTTATTTCATGTGACTTATAACTAAAAAGTTTCTCCTAAGTCTCTGGCATATAAAATTCTTGTGCTTTTGTGAACATATTTAGGATTGAAAGCCAACTCAAATCAGCCTGATAGAAAATTTAAAAAATCATTTTTTTTATTTGTATACATAATATGTGACACTGAATTATTTTAATGTTCAGAGTTTTATTGGGTAGTATTACTTATTCTAGTGATTTACTTTCAAATGTTATATTTTAAAATGTTTTACACATAACATGTAATATTCACATTAAAAATAAAAGTTTTTAAAACAATATTCCAATCCCACTACTTCACACTGACTTTGTTTTGTTTGACTAAAAGTTGATTTGTTTTTATCCTTATTGCATAGTCAAAATGTTCACTTATTCAAACTGGTCTTCATGTATGAATCACCCCTTGAGACTTAGGCTAGCAAGACTATACTTACAGGCTAACAGACCTTTGAAGGCCTATAGCGACCTACCACTTTATGAGTTGCTTGTTCTTTGTGTAATATTTGCCGTGACACGTACTCATAGAGCGAAATTGGTTTTAGTAGATGTTGGTCAACAAGTGCAAACTAGATGTGATATAAAGACCGCGACTGTTCTAAATGTTTGTTCAACGGAATGAAATAGATTCCTAGTAAATAAAGAGAGTTGAGATTCAAGATGCAGATTGAATGTGACACTAAGCATCACAAGGAAGATGAAAAGTCAAGATAGAGAGAAGACAGCACTTGACACAAGCAACACAAACACAGTTACTTGAGATTTGACTACTAGACATAAAGTTGTCTTTGGTCACTTTGGATGTCATGTGACTAGCATCATTATCAATCTTGTTGTTGAGTGTCAGGCGTACAAAAAGAGAATGACATCCCTTGATGTATCCACTGGGGGGGGGGGGGGGGGGGGCTGTATTAACACTTGAAAGGCCTAAGCTATTTGAGATATGGGGTCCTTTATAAGCCCATATATTATATGTCAGTGCCAAATAGTTATTGCGGGCCCGAAGCTATAGCTTGTGGTGTCTACAAGTAAATCCGGTCCTGTCTATGTGTTAATCCAATTATACATTTTAATTGGTTTTTCTGGCTGATTAAGACAAGTATTTCCTTGCTATAATAATGGCACTAGGAATGCAAAGAGCCCCACTCTATCCCACGCCTCACACTAGTCGGGTCCGTCGTGAAATGTAAAAATTAATTCTGCAAAATAAAAAAATCCCTTTGTCTAAATGTGAATTGTATCATTCAAAATGATCAAAATCTATTTTGTTCGGCACAACTTGGATCCCGGAGTGGTCACTCATGAGGGCGCAAAGTTTGTTAAGTCTGCATCTCGCTAGACCACTAAGTCGATTTCTTACCGCACATTCCCGCCGTTTTGCGGGAGGTTTGAACTTTGCTAAGGTAACAGACAACTGCATACTAGATACATACAATCGTACAAACTAGTGAGTTCTAAAAACGTGTCTACCATTGATTTGAACCGTGCCGACTCATCCTGGCCCGCCGTTCTGCGGGAGGTTTGAACTCAGCTGATTCAGGAAACCTGTTCCATGCTGCTAAAAAAGTAATGGCAATAGGAAAGACGGGGCCAGAAGCGGCCTAAGAGCTAGAGAGTCTGGCAACCGCCCCAGGCCCAGCTCTTTTGGAGGACCAGTGAATCGTTTGTCACCGTCAGACCATTTTAAGTTTAAACCCCCTCCAGAGGGTTTTGAGTTGTAAGAGTTTTGACATTAAAAGCCTCCTCCAGAGGGTTTTGAGTTGAAAGAGTTTTGACATTAAAAAGCCCCTCCAGAGGGTTTTGAGTTGAAAGAGTTTTAACATTAAAAGCCTCCTCCAGAAGGTTTTGAGTTGAAAGAGTTTTGACATTAAAAGCCTCCTCCAGAGGGTTTTGAGTTGAAAGAGTTTTGACATTAAAAGCCTCCTCCAGAGGGTTTTGAGTTGAAAGAGTTTTGACATTAAAAGCCTCCTCCAGAGGGTTTTGAGTTGAAAGAGTTTTGACATTAAAAAACCCCTCCAGAGGGTTTTGAGTTGAAATAGTTTTGGCATTAAAAGCCTCCTCCAGAGGGTTTTGAGTTGAAATAGTTTTGGCATTAAAAGCCTCCTCCAGAGGGTTTTGAGCTGAAAGAGTTTTAACATTAAAAGCCTCCTCCAGAGGGTTTTGAGTTGAAAGAGTTTTGACATTAAAAGCCTCCTCCAGAGGGTTTTGAGTTGAAAGAGTTTTGACATTAAAAAACCCCTCCAGAGGGTTTTGAGTTGAAATAGTTTTGGCATTAAAAGCCTCCTCCAGAGGGTTTTGAGTTGAAATAGTTTTGGCATTAAAAGCCTCCTCCAGAGGGTTTTGAGCTGAAAGAGTTTTAACATTAAAAGCCTCCTCCAGAGGGTTTTGAGTTGCAATAGTTTTGGCATTAAAAAACCCCTCCAGAGGGTTTTGAGTTGAAAGAGTTTTGACATTAAAAAACCCCTCCAGAGGGTTTTGAGTTGAAATAGTTTTGGCATTAAAAGCCTCCTCCAGAGGGTTTTGAGTTGAAATAGTTTTGGCATTAAAAGCCTCCTCCAGAGGGTTTTGAGCTGAAAGAGTTTTAACATTAAAAGCCTCCTCCAGAGGGTTTTGAGTTGAAAGAGTTTTGACATTAAAAGCCTCCTCCAGAGGGTTTTGAGTTGAAAGAGTTTTGACATTAAAAAACCCCTCCAGAGGGTTTTGAGTTGAAATAGTTTTGGCATTAAAAGCCTCCTCCAGAGGGTTTTGAGTTGAAATAGTTTTGGCATTAAAAGCCTCCTCCAGAGGGTTTTGAGCTGAAAGAGTTTTAACATTAAAAGCCTCCTCCAGAGGGTTTTGAGTTGCAATAGTTTTGGCATTAAAAAACCCCTCCAGAGGGTTTTGAGCTGAAAGAGTTTTAACATTAAAAGCCTCCTCCAGAGGGTTTGAGTTGAAATAGTTTTGGCATTAAAAGCCTCCTCCAGAGGGTTTTGAGCTGAAAGAGTTTTAACATTAAAATCCTCCTCCAGAGGGTTTTGAGTTGAAAGAGTTTTGACATTAAAAGCCTCCTCCAGAGGGTTTTGAGCTGAAAGAGTTTTAACATTAAAAGCCTCCTCCAGAGGGTTTTGAGTTGAAAGAGTTTTGACATTAAAAACCTCCTCCTCAATATTAAACTAAAGCAAACTACAGTCACGAAAATCTATGCGCGTAGCCAAGACGAGGGGGTGTTGAGTTGAAAAAAAAACAACTCAAGATCATTTTGAGTTTAAAACCCTATACCATTTTTAAAGGGAAAACTCCCTTTTTCGATAAAAGAAATCTAAGGAAAATTGCAGAGTTAGGGATGAATTTTTTAAACGTTTTTAATACCAGCGCTCTCCAGGACCCCCCCCCCCCCCTTTTAGCTGCTAAGGTCATTGTGTCAACTCTGTTTCCACTAACTCCAGGAAGAGCCTATTCTAGGGTACAAAAAACTACCGAAAGGATCAGTGGCATAGCAAGGGTGGGGGGAGGAGGGGGATAATCTGGAAATCCCCCCAGGCCCCCACTTGAGGCTGGCCCCCAAATGAGTGTTTTTTACATTAAAAATAAAATATTACGCATAATGCATAAGCCCCCAAAGAGGTCAAGCCCCCGGGCCCCCAAACGCTGGAAAATTCCTTGCTACGCCACTGGAAAGGATGAAGGTTCAGAATGTGATGAAGATTAATTACGTAAACACACATACACACACACTCGGGGGCGGTTTTAAGGGAGCGCAGGCATTCCTACTGCCCCGGGGCCTCCACAAAGTAAATTTAAAAGTGCCGAAATTCCACGGGTCAGAAACGTTTACGTTTTTGTTGTCCACTTTCTCTCCACATTTGAAGTGACAAGGACAGAAACTTTGGCAACACTCTAGAGCTGTGCTTCAAAAGTGTCTCTGTGATGCGTGCTCGTAAGATATAAATGAAGCTCAGAATTTAACCCTAGCCTCCAACCTCCACAAACTAAAAATGATACGTTTTTGAAACTAAAATATATGCCAATTAAATTATTATATATTTTTTTAATGAAGGAAACTTACTTTCGATTTAAAAGTATTTCTTTCTTCTAAAATATGTCATGCTTTTAGATATTAGCGTTATTATTAAGTGGCTTTTTCTTAAAGGTTTCGAAAAAGTGTAGGTGTCCCACAAAAATTTTGCCTTGGGGCTTCCACATATTTAAATCCGGCCCTGCGCGCACGCACACACACACACACAGACTCACACATACATACATATATCTATATCTATCATGCGCGTAACCAGTATATTTTTTGGGGGGAAGGGGGGTTGGGTTGGAAATTTTGTCTCCCCCCCCCCCCCCCCCCCCCCACGAAATATATATGTATAGGTGTGTGTATGAGTACATAATCTTGATTACCTTCGAACCCTTCATTCTTTCGGAAGACGTTTATTGTACCCTTGAATAGGAGGTAGTGGACAAATTGTAGACTACCCGCCCTTACCAGGAAAGAGGTCTGGGGGAACGCTGATAGCTCCCCTAGTGGGGTTCGGGGCGAAGATCCGCCGCCAAACATTATTTACTGTATTGAAAGCCAACAAAATGCATATTCTGAGGTATCTAAAGTGCATTATCCTGCTATTAAATAGTTTTATTTCAAAAACCAAATCTGCTATTCTTACTTAGATCCTCCCGCGCCGTTCGGTGCATTGGACGGCAAGAGCTGCTTTCACAAAATTAGCAATGTCTAAAGCCTCTTCCCACCAGCTCTGAGGACCTCCATGAAAATGTTGCGCCAAGCTGTACTAGGATGTCCTTGTTTGCACTTTCCTCATAATGGCGTCCATGTCATCGCACCTCTCATTATGTGTAATTCATTTTGTCAGAGAACATGTCCTGCAAACCTCACGCTCTGTCACAATCTTACTAAAGAGTCGACTCCCAGTTCGGCATAGGATTTCCTTGATTGAGACTTTGAGCTATAAAAAGGACTCCTAAAATCCGTCCTAGCCATCTTTGTTGAGCTACATTTAGTCTTTTACAATTTCGGAAGATGACTTTAAAGCTATTCACTGGACTTTATTAATGGAGCCCAGCCACTGGTAGAAATGTGTAACCTCTCATGACTACGCTCTTGGAATTAGGCGACTGTAGTTTGCTTAAGATTTTATATCGAAAAAGGAAGTTTTATCGTCAAAATCATTTTTGGGGGGTTTTAAAAAAAAAAAATTCTGGCGTTTTTTAAAAATTCAAAACCCCATTTAGCTACGGTCATAATATTTGGTGACAGTAGTTTGCTTTACAGTAATATTAAAGAGATGTTTTTTGA